AATCCCAGGATTCTACCCCCATATGTGCTCTCATTCTATGAACGATCTCCAAATGGGCACATCCATCCCATGGTCCCAACAATATATTCCAGACTTTTCTATTCAGTGGAGTCCACTCTCTGGAGCTTTAAATTCACATCTTATTGCCTACTTACATTGTCATCTCGATATTCACGAAAGCATCTCGGCTCAGAATGGCACCACTATGCTGCCAATCAAAACACATGAGCACCATCCAAAATTCCTCTCCTTTATTTTAACTGCTTACTTTAAATCTACTACCAAGAACTAGCCATTCTTCTAAATATCTTTTCTCGCCCTAGCTCATCTCTGGATCTACTTCCCCTGGACTCTTACAAACTTCCTTTCCAGTCCAGTCCCCAGCCTCCACCTTCTCATCCATCACATGCTGTTGGTGTGAGCTCTTTCTCTCTCTCTTTTTCTCTCTCTCTCTCCCACTCCCACTCCCATGGAATTCAGGCTGAAGCCTTCGCTTTTACATAGCGTTGAGGAATTTCAGGTGTTCTCTGCCTGTGTCCAGCTTCATCTGCCATTCCTCCCTCATACCCTAGAAACAGTTCCTCAAATACGGTGTGTTCAGATTCTCTTCCAAGCCTGAGATGCCTCTCACCCTTTTCCCATTTGCCCCAAGAATACTCACAGGTGGCGCTTGCAGCTGCAGCAGTTACCCCAAGATAACTCGCAGATCACAGTCCTAACCTTACCCCCAAAATATGCCACGAAATACCTCGCTTTTATTATTATTTTCGTATGTCTCTAGCGCATCGATAGTCTTTGGAAACGAATGACATTGTTCTATTTATAACGTTGTTTTTAGTAGTGGTATTTTCATTACAAAAATATAGTAATTCGCGATCGCTGAAAATGTCAAATCCCAGAAAACGTAGCATTCCTACGTTTGATGTTAAATGAATGCTGGCGGCAAGCTGCAAGTTTTTTCTTAAATGGGAAAAGGGTTCAACTCGTCTGCCAGGCAAGCTTCACGTGTTGCTCAAATGCTCAAAAAGAAGGCTCCTCTTCTGAGAAGCCTTCTTTTATTTCTCAGGAAAATGAGACATGTTCCCATGTTCTACACTATCCCCATGTTCCCAAAGTAACATACATATTCATCCTGTAATGATTAACAGCTCAAACATCTGCCTTCCCCACTAGCACATACATCCTTGTCTTTCATCTTTGAATCTCTGGTACTGAGTATGATGTCTGACATTGAAAAGGATTTTCTGAAGTATTGATTAAGTGAATTAATGAATAAATGAAAACTAGATCCCCTATAATGTCAAGGGCCACCTATTGACTACTGGGTTAGAAACCAGGTTATACAGAGTATTGATCATAGGATTATAAAGAAAAATCTGTCACTAGATTCTACAAATCATTTTGTGCTTTTCCATTTTGTGTCAAAATAAAAATTCGACTTTGTCCACCTATAAGAGTTATTTCTTTAAGAAATATTCCCAAAAAGAAAAAGAAATATTCTTTGAGAATATTTCTTATTCCTTGGATGGAAGGGAGAGAGGAAATTTGGCTTTTTACTTAACAGTCACATATTACGTTAAAATGAAGAAGCAAATCTACTTAAGGGATTGTCTTTGTATATTTTCTAGTCCTTTGATTTGTAATTAGGGCGATAAATTTATTGTTTCTGCATAAACAAGGTTGGACTTCTAAAGTAGATAGGGAATGTCTTTTTCATGGGTTACCTAATGAAACAAACGATAGTGAAGAATTATGCTGAAAGCTTATTAAATTACGCTGGTCAGTGAATCCAAAAATAAAAGGCTGTGTTGGTTACTATGAATACTCTTGTTTTCAGCTTGGCAGAAGATCACGAGCTTACAAAAATGCTGTCTGGATAGACTGTGGTATTCATGCAAGAGAATGGATTGGTCCTGCCTTTTGTCAGTGGTTTGTAAAAGAAGTAAGTTAAACCTTTTACACAATGTTCATTTCAGCTGGTCGGTGCTTCCCATGTGTTTTTATTCTGCTCAAGGAACAGAGCTGGGAATATAAAGCCAGTGATACCTGATTGAATGATAATACGTTTTTTTGTGGGTCACTGTCATGTTTATGAAGACCTCGCAGAACCCTGGCTCAGTTTATCCTTGCCTCTCACCCTGGAGATTGGAATTATCAACCCACATTAAAGAGAAGGAAACTGAAGTCCAGAGCTTTTATGAATTTGTGACGAATTGGGAACCAACCATAGTAGCTGATATATGGCAAAAGGCTAAAATCCAATTTATGATGTTCTAGAGCTGTTCCTCATATGATATTCAGCTTGGAAAATTCTATGCCACCTGTCTTTATCAAAATGATCTCACATATGTAGAGCAATAAGGAGATGAGCAAGTGATTACAATCTGCCCTCCTGCTATGGATCTGTAATTTAGATACCAAAGACCTTTTGGCATCTGTGGATTTAACATTCTCGGTTTCAGTATTTTTTTCAGTGACTCTAATTGTTAATGACTCATAGTGATTTTTCCTTTTCCAGAGGCTTCCATAGGTTAATGTATCAAGTGGGTCCTTATCCCAAGAGTGGGCCAACCTCATGAACCAACATCTTAATATGTCAGATATTTTTCTATTCATTGTCAAGAATGTAGTGACTTTTAGTTTAACCTTTTCTCTAATTTAAAAAAAAAAAAAAAGACGAAAGAAAACCAACCACTACTACTGACAATGCAAATGAAGTCTAAGGAATGAAGGTTCTAAGCCAGAGAATAACCCTACAGATATTTTTAGCCTTCTGCTTATGGAGAATCATTAAGAATATGAAAGATATTTAAATATTTCAGTTATATTTCACTGTGTTTTATGGGGAAATTATGTGCCCTAGTGTGGTTTGTGGTTTTGAGGACTCTCCTAGTCCTAGAAAATCTCTCTCATAAATGTCAAGACTGTACTAAATTTGTAAAATCTGCCCTCTCTGCCACTACCAAACCCATACAAGTATCCTTGATTCTATAAATATTATTATAAAATTTCAAACTATCCCCACTCAGTGTATTGAGTAACTCATATTCTCTTAAAATACCATTTCAACCTGGTAGGACAAATGCAAAAGCTAATAAGAAATTGTTAATTCTATTACCTTGTAATAAATATCCATTGTATACCTACAACATATTGTTTGCTGTCTGAAGTTTCAAAAAGGGGGGAAAATATAAGTACAGAACACCTATTGTTTATAAACTATGGTCCTGCATATTATCGGAGGACATAAATTATCTCCCAAACATTTTACCGCATATCCACATGTGCAATCTCTTCTTTATAACACCTAAACTTTGCTTATTCATGGTGTTATCTATCTCTTTTTGTATCAATGCCAAGGGCACAGACTCTGTCTTGTTCATTGCCAAATTCCTAGCACCTAAAACACCTGGCACTTTATAAATCTTCAAATATTTGTTAATGGGAATCCAGTGGTAATGATGTGGAAATATTACTGAGAGATGACTTGTCAAATCATCTCATGCAATATGAATGGTACCACCTGGAATTCTGCAATGCACAATCTGTACAGCCATGTACAGTGCCTTATAACTCAAGCTAAGTTTCCAAGGAAGAGGAGGACACAATGTGACCACAGAAAAAGGAAGAGGCATGTATAGTGACTACTAATCGAAGGTAGTTGATTTTGGAGCAAGAGCAAGAAGTATCAATTAAGATTAGGCTCCATTTCCCCTGAGGTGAGTAAGGAAAGACTTCTCCCTCTTACACCAGGCCATCTTAAAGCATGCAGGTATGTCTAGCCATTTCTGTGCCTCTGCTATCCTTTCTATACCACTCTCATCGTTTATGGCTGTCACTTGCCCCCCATCCCACCACCCCAACCCCCCACACACACACGCACACACACTTTGTCATTTATGTTTTTTATCTGAGTCAAGATAGCAACCAGAAATGGAAAAACAGGAGTCCTACGAGTTCCTTGTCCCAGGGGGATGCCACAGTGTGACCGTCATGTGGTAGCAGTGATTGGAGTAGACCAACGCTTACACATTATGGGCTTGTAAGAAATACTCTCACTTGCTTTAAAGCCCTCATTTTCACTAATGGTGCTGTTGGTGGCAGAGGGAATGGGGACTTTAAAGATTTAAGGAACATTAAACCTGCCAAGCATTTGAACATCATCTCTTGCACATTAATTCAGTGCCTTTTAAAAGTCTCAGTCTCCCAAAGAAGACAGGTGGCGGCTGATCTTAGAGGGGCTCCAAAAGGTGTCCCTTCCACAGGTTACCTCCCCTCCACCACAGAAGTCTCATGACCAGCTCCCATGCTCTCAACTCATCTAATTTCCATGTCCCCTCTGGGGACACCAGGGAACCTCTGGGTTCTCCCTCTGCCTCCCAAGAGACTCTTGGATGCTGTCTATCCCTCTCTTGGCTGACACATGACACACTTCTGATCGTCCTCTTCTGCATTTGCCCCTTACTGGCATATGAGGATCTTGTGAGGTGCTGTCCACTCAGGTACATGGTAAACCAGGACAGGGGGTCCTCTTTTCTTACACTTTTTTATACCAATCTCTCAGTTGTCTCTACCACCTCTTGCTTTCCCTGGAGTTTCAAACCCAAGAGAAGAGAGTAGTATCAGAAGCCAAAAGATTGGATTAAAGCACCCAAGAAAGAGAGAACACAAAAGTAAGAAGTCAAACTCAACAGCTTAAAACAACAGATAGTTTCTGTGGGTCCGCAGCTCAGGCATAGTTTAGCTGGATGCCTCTGGCTCAGGGTCCCTCACAAGGCTACAGTCAAGGTGTCAGCTGGAGCTGCAGTCGTCTCCAGGCTTGTGTCGGGGAGGATCTGCTTCTGAGCTCATTCACATGGCTGCTGGCAGCCTCAGGTCCTCCCTGGCTGTGAGCCTGAGACATCAGTGCCTTGTCACATGGGCCTCTCTACAAGGCAGCTCACAACATAGCATTTGGATTCCTCAGAGCTGATGAGGAGGAGAGAGAGAGAGAGAGAGAGAGAGAGAGAGAGAGAGAGAGAGAGAAGGAGCAGGCCCAATATGGAAATCACAGTCTCTTTGTAGCCTAATCTCAGCAGTGACATCCATCATTTTTGCCATATTCTGTCCATTGAATGTGAGTCACAAGGTCCAGACCATATTCAAGGGGAGGGTCTTATACAAAAGCTTGCCCACTAAGAGGTGAGAATCATTGGAGACAACCTTAGAGGCGACCTACCATATTTGGTGGGACTTTCCCCATAGCCACCACTGTAATGTTTGCATCATTACTCAAATGTCAATTGGAAGACAATTTATCGAGCCCTCTAAGATCCTGATAGAACAGCATATTGCAGAGGTTACATGCACATGCTTAATAGACAACCCTGGGTTGGCATGCCACCTCTGCCATTTACTAACTCTATGATCTTGGGGGCCAAGTCATTTAACCCCTCTGAACCTCAGTAATAATATGTGACACATTGGGTTATTGGGAGGATTAAATAATATAATGCATGTAAAAGACTTAAGAGCGTGCTTGGCATATGACAAGCACTTAATAAAATCAGTGTTTAGTAGTAGTATCTGCAAGTTAGTATTTTTAAATAACCAATGTAAAAAGAATCATTAGGAAAAATCTGCAAGGATATGAAACTCAACAACATATTGCAGGATCTAAACAACCTTTATAGATCACTCCACCAAACAACAGCAGAATATACATTTTTTTCAAGTGCTATAGAACATATATCAAGATATGCTATATCCTGGGCCAAAAAACAGATCTCAACAAATTTAAAAGAATTAAAATCATACAGACTGTATTCTCTGATCATAGTGAAATAAAACTAGATATTGATAGCAGAAAGACAACAGGAAAACCTACAAACCCTTGAAAATTAACATGCTTCTAAATTATTTAAGGATCAAAAAAAATCTCAAGGAAAAAACTTAAATACATTGAACTGAATGAAAATGAAAATGTAACTATCAAAATTTGTGAGACAGAGCTAAAACAATGGTAAGAGGGAAATTTATAGCATTAAATGCATATATTACAAAAGAGGAAAAGTCTCAAATCAATAATCTAAGCTATCACCTCAAGAATCTAGAAAAATAGAAAATAAAACCAAAGCTAGCAGAAATAATACTGATACGAGTAGATATCAATGAAATTGAAAACAGAAAATCATCAGGAAAAAAAATCAGTGTAACAAAGAGCTGGTTCTTGAAAATATCAATAAAGTCAATAAAGCTCCAGCAAGAGACAAAGAAAAAAGAAGATGCAAATTACCAATTTAGAAATGAAACAAGGGATATCACTACAGCCCCTGCCGATTGCAAAAGGACAATAAGACAATCCTATGAATAATTCTACATATATAAATTTGACAACTTAGACAAAATGGATCAATAAATTAAATACAAACTACCACGACTCATTCATTATGCAACAGATAATATCCCTGTTACTATTAAGGACATTGAATTCATGATTCTAAAATTCAAAAAAGAAAGAAAAAAAATCTCTAGACCCAAATGGTTTCATTGAAGAATTCTACCAAATGTTTAAAGAGGAATTAATATCAATTCTATATAATTTCTTTCAAAAAACAAGAGAAAACTCTCCCAATTCATTTTACAAAGCTAATATTACCCTGGTACCAATATTGGACAAAGATGGTAGGAAAAAAGAAACTAGCTTTCATGAAAATAGATTCTGAAATCCTTAACAAAATATTTAACAAATAGAATTTAGTAATCTATAAAAATAATTATACAACACACCCAAATGGGGTTTATTTCAGGGATGCGAGCCTTGTTTGATATTTGAAAATCAATGTAATCTACCATGTTAATAGGCTAAAGAAGAAAAAAATAAGTCTCATCAATTGATACAGAAAAAGCATTTGACAAAATTCCACACATTCATGATAAAAACTCAAAGAAATAGAAATAGAG